TCTCTCTCTCTGTCTTCTCCCTTTTCCCTCCCCAATACCTCTCTCTCTCTCTCTCTCTCTCTTTCTCTCTCTCTTCCCTCTCTCTTCTCCCTTTTCCCTCCCCACCACCTCTCTCTCTCTCTCAATTAGTGTGTGAGTTAATACAGATAGATCAACCTAAAAATGTAACAATTAGTAATTAAAAACATTGCCGGTCAGATATGGCAGGTGCGATGCGCACCATTATGGAAACTGTTGACCTTAATATGTGGCTGGCATGGTCTCAGTGAGTTGAACATTTTTCTTTGTTTGTTGTTGAATCAACAACAAGTAGTATAGTATTGCATTGCAAAGAATCATTTTCCTCTAGATGTGAACAAAAGTTGTTTTTTATTTCTTTACTCTCATGCTACTTTTCGTCCTAAATAAAGCTTAAGGACTCCTTTTATATACACTGTTTGGATAAATTAGTGTATTTCTGCTTGGGAGAGTGACTTTCTTTTTTTCTTTCCGTCCCTCTGTGTGTCTGTCTGTTTGCCCGTCTTTCCTGCTGTCTGTCTGTCTATCTGTCTGTCTGTCTGTCTGTCTGTTTGCCTGTCTTTCCAGCTGTCTGTCTGTCTGGCTGGCTGTCTGTCTGTCTTGCTTTTTCCTTGCACTAAATAAATATTAGCGTGTGAGTGTGCTTCTTTTTACTCGGAACAAACTAGTGTCTGGAGGAGCTCTGGTTTGGTCTGCTCTTATTGCTTCTTCCCGGTGTGACAATAGATAGAATCCTGCTTTTGGGGGAAGTCTTGCCGTGATGATGCTTCCCAGCTGTAAGCTGTGTATAATGAATAGCTCGCAGGTGGTTGATATGTGTTCTGGTGTCTTTTGCACCTTATTTCTTATCAAACATCTTGTGTATATTACTCTTTAGTAACGCTTCTAATCTTGGGCACTTATATGACCTGTTCACGTTACAAGTGCCATAAAACTTTTACAAAATTGAAACTAAAGGAACAGTTCATTCTGTTAATGAATGTGTCCATGAACAAGAGCATCATAACCTTTTTTATGCACATTAGGTTTTACTCCGTGCTCTTTTGGTCCGCCGAAATGTTCATTCATTTACAAATTGAACCGTGACCTGCATTGAAAAGCTAGAGGTATCCTCTGATTTTTCTTGTCAGCTTTGCAAAGCGCATAGTCATGCCATAGAGTGTAGAATGCACTATAACTATAAGAGTGGAATTACACAAACTGTTATAATCATTATAATTATTATTATTATTATTGTTATTATTATTGTTGTTGTTGTTGTTGTTATTATTAGAAAGTTTTAAGCAGATTTTTTTTCTTACTTGTGCACAACAACTCAGACAGTGTGTGTGTTGGTGCAAAGGCAAAGCCCATGTCCGATTTGTTGTGATGGTTTTGATGGATTCATTTCTGCTGTGGATCTGAATACTTCTCAGAAAGCTGAGAATGTGCTGGAATGGAATAGGATCTGTAAGATCAGTAATAAAATAAAAGTAATATAAATCGTAGAACCTACTTCCGAGTAGGGATAAGTATTGTATAAAAGCTGTCTGTTAGTATTGATTTAAAAAAAAAAAAATTCTCAGCATGTATTCACATCTGTGTGTGGTTTGGGACAATTAAAATATGTATCTTTGCCTGGTGGATCTTCTCTGTCGTTTCAAAACAGTACATAATGTCCATTGTGAGAGACAGTTGTGGTCCGTTTTTACCATGTGAACACACACACACACACACACACACACACACACACACACACACACACACACATACACGTACACACACACACACAAAGGCAAATGTACATTAACACTCACACAGACTATCATCTTTATCTCTCTTCCTTCTCTTCTATGGTATGTCTCTAGTAACATGTCTAATCATCCACATTTATATGACCTATTTGTGTTGAAAGTGTCATAAAAATCTGAATAAAACTGAAAAAACAAAACTAAGACCCACTCAAACAAACTCATAATCACCCTCAGACATGCGAACGTCAGCCTGTAGAAACACAGACAAACAACCCTAAACAAGCTCACACACCCCTGCATACGAACATGGCCTCAATCACCTTGATATCTCATGAATCCCTTTCTCATCCTCCCCCCCCCCCTCCCCCGTCCACAATTATTAACAATATCTCCTGTCCCTTTCTCATCCTCCCCATCCCCCCTCCCCCATCCACAATTATTAACAATGTCTCATGAATCCCTTTTTTGTTCTCTCCATCCCCACAGGACAGCCCGTCTGTACCGTACTTAAACGGCACCTGCGGTCAGTTGACCGTCTGGCACGAACCGTACAACCGTGCCCGTCATGTCCTGTACCGCCGCGCCTCCCCCTGGCCCCTCAGCATGTTCTCGGACACCGCCTATCGCTGGACACTGCCGTCCTGGATGCGAAGGGCAAAGGTCGTGATGAGTCTGCTGGAGCTAGTGGAGGAAATGTATGAGAAGGAGGGGGTCAGGTAGGTGTACACGATATTTTTGTGCATGCGTTTGTGTGTGTGTGTGTGTGTGTGTGTGTGTGTGTGTGTGTTTGTGTGTGTACGTGTGTGTGTATGTGTGTGTACCTGGGTTGGTGGTTGTGGGTGTAGGCCTACTTGTGTTTTCGGCTGTATTGCGTATGTGTGTCGGTAGTTGTGGTTGTTGTTCATGTTTGTGAGTGTTTGCTTGTGTGTGCGCGCGCGCACAAGTACCACTATGTGAATGTGAAGGTGGTGTTTGGAGCTGATTGAGGTCATGTCATGTACAAAGAAGAAGGTATCACTCAGGTCTGTGTATGGGTGGTTCTGGGGTGCTGTGGTCCAACCTGCTCCCTATTGCTGAATTTTTCTGTTTTACGTTTGCCATAATCGGTGTCTGCCCAAAAAGGTGGCCATGAGTGTTATTGGGCTGACTGACTCACAAGAACTCAATGTTTCTTTCCTTGAGTAACAATGCATCTAATAAGACACTCAGTGCTGGCTGACTGACTCACAAGAACTCAATGCTTCTTTCCTTGAGTAACAATGCATCTGATAAGACACTCAGTGCTCGTGGGTGGTTGGCAGGTACCCTGGTGTGGTTTGTCTTTCTTTCCTGTGAAACATACATCACCCTTATCTCTCCTTCTTTTTATGTGTTTGTCACTCTCTTGTAATAATACCTCTAATCTTCAGCACTTATATGACCTTGTTGTGTTGCTAGTGCTGCGAAACGCTTACAAAAACTAAATACAGAGCCCTTAGACTTGAAACATGGCCAACCCCATCAACACTACAGGAGAAGCTGTATGTTTGTACCAATAGAGGAATTAAGCGGGTCAGCCCCATATATAAGAGATCCCCATCTTCAGGTGTGATATGATCGAAAAGAAGAAAAAAAGAAGATTGTGTCTAATCACAACCCACCCTCTCCCTCTTTTTGGTTGGGTGGGTACTGGGTACCCATGGTAGATTCTATATCTTTTCTCTCCCTCTGTTATTTCTTTCTATACTATCTGTCTTATCTTTTTCCTTACCTAAATGGCCCAGTAAGGTGTCGACGTTTTTCTCTTTATTGAAGTGAACAGATGTATATTGACTGACACTGCATCTGACCTCATCCCATCCCCTTCCACTTTTGCTCTGATATGGTTTGCTTCTTCTATCGTCCCTATCTCTTCTTCTTTTCATTGCATACTACTCTCTAAAAACATTTCTAATCTCCAGCACTTACATGACCTAATGGTGCTGCAAGTGCCATTAAACTCCTATAAAACTTTGAAAACTGCAACCTCCCACTTTTTGTCAGATATCACCTATGTCACATGGACGGCCTGACCCTTCACATGCACCCGAAAGATTTCGAAGTACTGATATCCCACAATGCAATGCTACTGTCAGCGAGACAGGTCCAGAACCGACTGAGCAACATGACGTGTCGCCGCCACTCGGACTGCTACCTCACAGAGCAGTGTCAGACCTCGTGTGACTATCAGACGGGACGGTGCACAGACTCACTGGTCCGACCCACTCTCTCGTTCGTCTGTGAGATCATGGAGGAGTATCTGTTGTTCGACACGCCGAAACAGATCAAGGCCAACCTGACTCGTTTGATCCGCCGATGCGTGTTGTTGGGCCGTCGCTCAGCCAGCATTGTCACACATTCCGTTTTACTGATCGATTTGAAGAATGTGATATGGAACTTCATACAGTACGCTGTAGTGAAATAGCAGGCAAAGAGGCAGAACACGTGTGGGGACTCTGCCCGTACACTAGTTCTGTCAATTCCAGAGTTTTTTCATCTTCATGTGCAAGAACTGTTCATTTGGACATATACTAGTTTATAATTCATACTCAGAACTGAAAACAGCATTTGCAATGTTCAGGGGTGTAACTGATTTGAAACCAGATGCCACTGGGTGTGGTGTCTGATTGTTTTAATCTCAATTATTGAATAATTCCTCACTGCCAGAGTGTGGTAAACACTGAGAAGAAAGATGATCCATGTTTTTGTTGCGTGCTGTTTATGTTTTATGAAGTTTGAAGTCAGTCAGTGGTGATGGTGTGGCCCTGAATGAGACTACTACAACTTTATCTTATCTGGCTTTACTTCGTGTGTCAGTTGTTGGAAACTGGACTTTTTTGTTGTTGTCTCAAATGTCTTTGACAGTGGAGTACAAGTTGATGTGTGTCTCATTAAGTATTCAGAGATATCTGTTTTTTGGCTGTGACTTCTTGTACTGTGCATATTTCAGGCATTATTTCCGTGTTAGGAACTTTAATGAGTTTCTAATCGTGTGCCAATTCATTTTTCAAATTTTAATGTCTGTGTTGTGAGACTTGGGCATTTCTTGATATGAAAATATTTCTTTCTCATATTGCGTAGACAGGAAAATGATGTTGGGCATTTGAATTAATTATTGAAACGTTTCTCATTAGTTTTCCTTAATAATGTATTGATTAAGGAGTATTTTTCTTTCCCTTTGTCAGGGAACAAATTGTTGTATTTGTTATAACCAAACCAAAGCCTGTATCTGAATTGTGAAAAAGTACCAAGCTAGTCATGGTCGAAACAGCTGGCTCGTGGGAGAAGTTGTTGTCTCCAACAAGTTTATAAAGCTTTTGAGATTTTGAACGTTGTTAAGGTTTTGTAATTGAGTGGGTGCCTGATTGATGTCCCTGATGAGGTCTTCGCTTTCTTGCAGGGGTCACCAAACTTTTGTGTATTTATTGATTTTTGGTGGGCCAGATAACTAAGAAAAAGCTGAGCTCTGGCCAGATAACTATTTTGTTCAAAATTATAAACTGAATACATAATAGACACACAAAAATTGGGACCACAAACATAGTATATATTAACCAAAAAGTCATCAAATTAAGTAGTGTTGTATCTGCCAAAAGCCCGCCCAATGCTCGAGGCACATTGAAAAAAATATTGGCCCAACCTTAGGCAGAGACCCAACACTCTCTGGGCGCCTGGAGGACCTGCGGGAAACAGCAGCCTTCTCGCTAAAGACTGGAATGTCCATGAGCAGAAGAAATTGGAAGAGTAATGTTGTAATAAGGTAGTTACGTCACACCAAATGCGCATAATATATATGTGAATCTCAGAAGCCAAGCAGCTAGACTGTGATGCAGTAGTTGGAGGTTATCAAGTCTATAAAAACACTATTTTCACTGTAAAGTTCAATGAAAATTATTATATTATTTTGTTGATCAAGTCCTGAGTACAGAAATTGTTAAAATTAAATCATTTTGTTGATCAAGTCCTGAGTACAAAAATTGTTAAAATTAAATCATTTTGTTGATCAAGTCCTGAGTACAAAAATTGTTAAAATTAAATCATTTTGTTGATCAAGTCCTGAGTACAAAAATTGTTAAAATTAAATCATTTTGTTGATCAAGTCCTGAGCACAGAAATTGTTCAAATTAAATTATTTCGTTGATCAAGTCCTGAGCACAGAAATTGTTAGAATTAAATTATTTCGTTGATCAAGTCCTGAGTACAGAAATTGTTAAAATTAAATTATTTCGTTGATCATGTCCTGAGTACAGAACAAACACATCTTCCAAGATAAATTTTCTTCCTTCTTGGTGGCACAGGACGGGACAGACAAACTGCCCTTACAGGCTGGACCTGGCCCGCTGGTGGTTATTTGGTGACCCCTGCTCTGTTTGGACAATTCCTTACAATTTGTTTTTGCTGTTTAATTTTTTAAAGTTATATACAGTGATGTTCAAGGGACAACTCCAGTATGTGTGTGCGAAAAAAAGTTAACTTTTCGATGAAGGTGCCGAGTATGTCTGTGGGGGTACTGGTGAAGTAAAAGTAAACTTGGGATACCCTCCCCCCC